ATGATGATTGTCTTCGGCTTCCACTCATTCTAATAACATATAATTTTACTTCTTAGTTTTTTTTTTTGTTGCATAAATTTGAATTATTTATCAACAAATTTTACCGCTAAAGTTGTATACAGTGAAGTATCGTTATGATTCTGAGCGATCCAGAATCTTTTCAAGCTTTCTGGATGTATTTTTTGATCGAAATACTGAAGTATTTGCCATCTTTTTTTAATTCTTTCCGTAGATATTTGTGAGAGAACATAATTTGTTCTAAATATCAATTTAAAAATTTGATAATATTGTTGTAAAAATTTTTTATTCATTAAAACGATAATTAAAATATTTTTTGTTTCTTGTTTTTTGCATTAATTATAAGACAGAATATAAATACGGTAATATTAACTTTTGTAATGACAGCACTGCTTCATCTGACAAATATTCAAAAATTTTATCTTGTATTGGAATGTAATTCTGCATCAGTTTGTCCAGTGTTATAGAAGGTTGATGGGTTTCAGCTACATTATGAACTTGATCTAAAAAATTTTACACATTTTATCATCATAAATTAATAATTAAAAATATGGCTTTGATAAAAAATAGAAAATATTCACGCAAATTTTTGTATTTTAAAATAATACGCTTCAAATAATATTTTTTTTAACGTGTATTTTCTAACAAAAACAAAAATTAAGAATCTTGATGAATTTGTAAATAAAAATAACTGCATGTTTACTATGATAAGTGATCTAATATTTTATTTAAAAATTTAGAATTACTAGTAATTAGTAAATTTATTAAAGTTTAAATTACCTTTCGTATGACCCTTTAATGATGATTTAGGATAAACTGCATTACAAATGCCAAAAATATGCAAAAATCCTGCAAATTTAACAAAAAAATTCATTTTTTGTTCGCAGTAACTATTGTTGTTAGTAGAAATATAACAAATATATATATATACATATATAGTATTTATTCAAGCTGTGTTTGCTAATGACAAAAAATTAAGCATTAAAAAGGCTGTATAAATAAACTTTTTAGTTGGTCCCAAACATAAATCATTTACAATTATTACATAGAAAATAGTAAGCTGCAAAATTATTTTTACTAATATTCTCAATTTTTGAGTTTGAAGTTTAATATTAAGCCTCAATTCTAACTTATACATAATGGAAATACTCACCGCTTCATTTATTCAGCAACAAAAACTGAACAGTCTGTGAATTGAATGATACTTTGAACTTTATTCCAAATTTGCACAAAAACTTTGAAAGCAGAAAATATACAATAAAATACTATAAAAATGCTTAACAGTTTACAAATTTGAAAATTCCTCAGCATTACATTGCATACAATAAAAAGCCTACCTCAAATACTTTTCAACAATTAAAATTAATAAAACAACAAAATGTATAAAATTTAAACAATAATTAATAACGGAAAATGTTTTGATGCAAAATTTAAATTTAAAAATTTTTATCTGTTTTATACTTTTTCGCTTACAATACTATATTATTAATTAGCAAATATGCGGCCTTATTATGTTTACTCTTATATATTTACTATTTTTTTTAAATAGCAGATATTTAAAAGCATACTCATATTTTGCTAATATATTTGTATACATTTAATCGTGTTTTTTCAATTAAAGAAAATTTAAGAAATTAAAATTTACTATAAAATCTTTTTGTCATTAATTTTTAATTTAAAAGAAATACAAACATTGCTAATTTTGTGAAAAAATTAAATTTTAACTCATTTTTTATTACTTTTTTACTGAATTACAAATTTACACAAAATTTTTATTATTCTAAAATAATTCATACTTTTTACATTTCTCATTGCATTTTATAAAAAATAAACCTAAAATAATCTGCCTCAATTATTCATAAAATACTGCCAATTTAGCACTGTTACTTTTATTTTCACTTAAATTTTATATACAATTTTTAAAATCAAATTTAATCTACTCGATAAATTATAGTAGTATTTAATCATAATCAAATACAATTTCATTCCAAATAGTTTAAAAAATAAAAAATGACTGAATAATAATAATACTTAACTGTAAAAGCATACTCGCTTAAAATTTGTTAAATAAAATCAAATATTCAAAATTATTGGAGAAATTAATATTTTAATATATAGAGACTAATAACATGTATACATTGTATTCTTAAAATACACCTCTTCTTATAAACTATTTTCGTGATGTTATTTAGCATTGTTTACTACATAAACTATTACACTTTTACATTAATAATTTTGATGCTAAAATGAATGCAATCTCAAATGTCATCCATTGTGGTGCTTCATTTTGCATACAGTTATCTGGACATTTATCATTTTGATAGCCTTTTTGGATTAGTTTGCTTTTAGATATCTTAGAATTTGTAAAATTTGCTAAGTAACCGATAAATAACCACATTTAAAATTTTTGATAATTGCAGTAATCACTTAATAAATTATTACAAGTATTATTGATTTTATTAATCAGATAATTAAAGCGGCAATTTTAACTTTTACGATTAGTACTATTTATCATTGATAAATACTGAAAAATCTCGAAGTATTACAGTTAATCTCTTGACAGTTTTGCAACCACAACAACTGCTGAGTATTTGTGTTTGCAATCATCCAGCGACTTTTCCCCTGCCATTTTTAATATTGTGAATAACCTATTTACAGGGTTTCAATTGCTCAAAAACCATACTAAAATGAAATTGACTTACATTAAAATTTATTCTAGGTTTGAAAAATTTTGTCAGGTTACAGGAATTTTCTTATAACCTGAAAGAATAAGTTGGACTGTAAATGTTGTCAATCTCAATTTTCTTCATATTTTTGTTGAGTTAATTATATTATACATATGGAAATCGAGATGAATATAATTCAAAAAGATTTTGCATGAGATCCCATTTTACCGTGCTTCCAGCAATTTTACGAATTACGATATATGAATAGTATATTAGAGCACCATTAAGTGTTATTTTACACTAAATATTCCGAAAATTACAAATACAAGCAAGTTATGATGTTATTAATATTTCCTGCAGTGGTCAAGAAATAACACATAAAACCATCTGTGCTCTTTATTTCCATCAGTATATGGTACTACAAGGATAACAACTTTAACAGCAATCAGACAAACAGCAACAAATGTTACAAATGAAAGAAGAAGCATAAACAATACTTATTCTACTACTGATTTATTTTGAATTTGCTCTGAAACAAACTAGTAATGCCACAATGACACTGAAAAGTTCAGCTCTTCAATCTAATCTGAATGAACAAAGGCTGACCAAACTTTGACAATTTCAGTTCAAAACCTATTACTTTAGAACTGAGTATTTCAACACCTAAACTTTTCCACTTCAAACTATTAAGCGCACTTAATCATACTTAACTTAGCCTTTGAAAGAGGTTGAGACATATGCCACACGAGATGGAAATGGACTGTTCACTCTATGCTATGGTAATAACGCAGTAGGAATAAGATTTGCTTCACTCACTTAACAGGTAATCATAAGTTCAGATTTATTTTCTTAATTATTCTCTTTTAATGCAGTAAGCAAAGAGCAAGATCATTTTAGTTTGATACTTCTATAATTATAAATTTCTATAATTACAGATTATAAATTTTAATAACGTTGAATAATAACTTGCATTAATGGAAAACTAAATCACCCGTCAATAAAATAATAAAAGCACAGTAAGAATCACAGAAAATATGCGGAATGAAATGTCAACGAACAAGAGAAGAAATCAAATGAAAAGAAAACTTGCCAGATAGGAAAGGAATCGAGTCAAGAAAGCCTAAAAATGTACAGATAAAATACAAAAAAAATAAACAATTTACATTGAAAGCAATTATTTAGTAAATATCTAAAAATGTATTTAAAAACAAAACAAAAAAGTTTCTTACCACTCTAATTAACATAATGATTTTGCTACCACAGATTAATATTACCAATATTCCAATAAACTATTGCAAGAACCTATGGTATATATGATGGAACATACTAATATAAGCCAAAATACATATTTTATATATAATACGATTATTAAGACAAATACTAAAGAGAAATAAGAATGGCATGAATTTCTCCTTCAAATAACATAAACTTTGTAACATATAAATTGGAATAGTGTTGTAATACATGAATTATAAAATTTAACAGGAGGAAAATATTACTTTGAGAAGATAATTACTTTTTCAAATTCGTAAAAAAGTTGCACAACAATATTGATGCAGCACCTTGTCAATATATAAAATTGATTAACTTCAAGGTAACATAAAAAATCTACCAACTGGGCTGATACTGAGCAAGAGTGCTATTAAATTGAAACCGACACCAGCTAAAGTCTAAGTTGTCGTGAATGTAAGACATTGGGTAAAGCATAAATACACTTCCTATTATAACCAAAATTATTATCCATGACCAAAACTTGATCAAGCCAAGTCGACAACACAAATGCCATTGTAAGCAGTAAGCCCACATAATATTTGTCCAAAATAGAAAAATATCCAGAAAAACCGTGCATCTGAATTAAACACTCTTTAACTATCTTTGTTTACAATTCACTACTCGAAATTTGTAAACATTTAGAAAGATTTTGTTTATCCCCTAATACAAAATTTGCAAATAATTTTGGTAGAAAATTTTTTGAATGATAACCTTAAAAGCAACATAAGCCCTATATTGTGGTTTGCATAACGACCAGATTGAAGCGAAAACATGAAAGTTTTGCGGACATTCCCAACCAGAATCATGAAAGACGTTATCATTCTTAAAATTTGCAACAGAAGTTCAATTGCATTACAAATGACTTTTTGCCTGAAAATAATGGCTTAGTCAAGATTTCTTTATTCGGTAACTGTAACAAAATTTGAGCAGTCTTATGAGTTACATATATAGAGAGGTTGAGAAATTTAACGCATGCAAAAATTTTTAAATCCTGTTAAATTATACTTGATTAAAAAAAATGATTACAAAAGCATTAAAACCTCAACAACTTTCACCTTGCTTCATGTTTCAATATGATCGCTAGTTCCTGTTTTCTTCTAGCACGTAGCCGTTTCCTTAAAACTTTGCGGTCTCTGTTCTCCCGACGGGCTAATTCCTTTGCAGTAGTAAGGTCACGCTTATTGGTAAAATTAGGTTTGAGAATTTCTACTTCATCTGATGAAAATAATGCATCACATTAAAACTAGAGAAAAAAATTTATCATAAACAAGAATAAACAATGAATATTTAGAAGTTCCCAACTTTCAATACTTGATGAGATATAACGATTTCGAACAAGAGGAATATGTCGCAGCACTCGTTCAGTCAATCCAGATTGATTTCCGATACCTAATTCATCGCCTAACACTTCTTCATCTCCCATTTCCACTACATCAGTAATAGAACATTTTGGTTTCCTTATACGAAATATTGAAATATTAATAAATTTAATGACATTTGAATAAGCAATCTGAATCATAACTTCGAAACAAGCATATTTAGTGAGAGGAATACAAAAAATAGAAATGAAAAATTCTATTAAGAGGAATACAAAAGAACGAAACTCACCGGCAATTACTGCAATTTATAAAATGTGTACAATTTCTCAAGGATTTGACGAGTGCTTCACGAGAATTTAGTTGCCTCCAGCTACCAGATACAAATGAATGCGTTTGAGTTTTTGAATTTTTTTGTTCATTTAATTTGGCAGTTTGTTTTTTGAAACGAGGCGGTGGAACTGGTACATCAACCACAGCTGTAATGATGATATGTGAGCCTTATGAGAATATTTTCAAATAAGAGCTGACCATTTTCAGAATAAAAAAGAAAAAAACAATTGAAAATTTATATCATCCATCTAAATGTGAGCAGTTAGAAAGTAAAAATAACTATTCAAGTTAACACAATATCAGCAAAAAATTAGCAGGGACTAAAATCAGATGCAAGCAATTATAAAAAAGAAATGAATAGTACAAAAATTGAATACATCAAACAAAATCACTTTAACAAGTTTTCCTAATTACCTGGATACAGTTGAGACTTATTATCTGTAGATGCCTCTACTACATGCACAAATACTTGGTTTTGAATCTCATTTCCATTTCGCATTTCCGTGCTCAAATTTTTTGGATCATTCAAATACCTAAAATTCATTTAAAAATTTCCAAATAAATAATGATATAAAACTGTAGCACTGATTAATGATATATTATTTAATTATTTAATTTAATTTGATCAAGAGTATAAGCTATTTAGTCTACATCATTCTTCAGCAACTCTCAAAATCATAGAAAGCTAACACTTCTGTATTTTCTTCATCTTCACTGCTCGATTCTTGCTCCTGTTCTGCTCTATCAGAAGCTTCTGCTTCACTAATATTATCAAACTCTCGCTCTACCTTGGATTTCCTATCCTTTCCATATTCGATATTATATATCTCCTAAATAAATATGCATTAATATACTGAATACTTGTACTACTTTCTTAAGAAGCTAAATAATTTCGGTTTAAAATTTTAAATTCTGATATACTTATTTATACTCATTGTAGAAAAAATTTCCAATGACCTTAAGCTAAATTGAGAATACTTACCTTGTAAGTATTATTTGGATAACGATTAATGCGTTTGTTAATCAAATTACACCACACAATTAAGTAATTTTCAGCACGTAATGGCTTAAAACATATACACAGCATAAGATGCATCCAAAACCATAATAAATCGTAACTTTTCCAAGAAATGAAATAAACACAATTCACATAAATAGAAACAAGCCAATTGAAATGTGCCAAAAGTGCTAGTGTAAAACGATACCAGAACCAGAATAGAAAACAACACCAATGCATTTTACCATTTAGTACGCAACAAAAGTGATACCATTATGCTTGGAAACCTGAAATAAACTTATAGTTTCCAATACAATACACAAACTAAATCACGTTCGTAAAAAATTGCCAATAAATTTATTTGTTCAATGATAAAAAACCTTGTTATAGTGGTGAAAAATATAGCCACAATAATCAGTAGCTATTATGAAGTCATCACAAAATTACGGCGTGAGTCAGTAACTGGAATTTTATTACTGTAGTCTGACTATCACATGTAAAGGGAAAAGCATGAGGAAGGTCAATCACAGTAATAAATATAAATAATGTTCCTGCACAATGACTTCTACAGCAATTTCATGACAGCAATACGGAGCTTATTAAAGTGACAACAAGCAATGCTATGATACACTAATAAGAACGTTAGAAATACGTGTACTAAATTAAAAGACCTTAATACTGACCTTCTCTAAATTAAGCAATTAATTTCAATAAAATTGGATACACAACAAGTAACTGAATATTGCGAAACAAGTTTAGCTATTCCTGAATTCGGTGGCATAGCTAACTATTAGCATTAAAAATGCTAGTATTTCGCTAAATTCATTTTTTCACGAATTCCTTGACTTTTGTCGTAGTAAATTCTCGGAATTTCTCCAGAATTTGATTTTTTCTTGCCAATTAATGCATCAGAATAATTATTTGTTTATTATACTTGCTCAATTTTTTTTAGTGAAATGAACCCATTGAATCCAGTCGATATCTGGAAAAAGTCCTCCTGGTCGGACCAAGATTCGTATACGACATCGAACGCTGGGTATTTTTTGTAAATCCACTATTTTTATTTTAGTTTCACTTTGTTTTTTTTATAGCAATATAATAATATATGACTATTATGAGGTATTTGCTTACTATGTTCTGAGAATTTTCATGTCTTAGCTCGTGAAAATAAGTTTGATTGCTCTATTTATAAATTTATTCAATAATCAGTAGTTAAATTTTGACGACATGTAAAATTATTGCAGGACTTGTCTTTCAAATTTCTAATGAATTATTCGTTGGAATGTTTCTTCTCTATTTTTGATATTTTAACAATTACGAATTAAGGATTATGTTGAGTGACTCATCTGAATCTTTACAGATATAACTGTTTATAATTGTGGCGAATTAATTTTAGCACAAAATCACTTTTCCTGACTGCACCGGTTATTTCATCTTTCGCTGGTGATGCGAATTATTTGCGCAGAGTCTTCAAAGCATGGCCGATAGCAACAGAAAAAAAAGCCGTGTTTTGGCCAGCGCATGCTACTTTGATAGCTTGTGGATTCACCGGCATAATAACGGGTACTTCTTGAAATCAAAATTTTCTTTAGATTTTAAAAAGTTTATATTAATTTTTTTCGTTACCATTTCAGGAATACGTGTCAACTCCTACACTTTTCTTGGCGATCCAAACTGTGCATACACAGAAAGTTTGCGAAAATGTCCCAGATTAACGTGGATCATTTCTCTCTATACTTCAGCACTTGTTTATTTTGGCCTGAATGAGAATATCGTGCGTAGATATCTTTACAGGTTGACTAAATAACCTTTTATTCAAAGTTCGTATATATGATCCCCTTTCAATACATTCGGAAGAGAATTCAAATCATTAACTTTACAATAACAGTACTGGGTGTAAAATACAAAAACAATTCACCATTTAAATGTCATTAAGTTTTAGTCACGGAACTCTCTGCAACACTTGTTTAATATTATCTAGCACAGTAACTGCTCTAGCGTGTGGAATCGCCTTACCTATGCTCTCCACACCATATCTGACAGCAGCAGCAGTACGTTAATGAAGTTTGACTCAAATATTTTTAATTCAAAATGTCTTGTGCACTGATAAATTTAAAAATTTTAATGGAAAAAATTTAATTGTTCTGGAATATGTGTAGGTTTTGACATTTCGAGTCTTCACGTTTTTTTTCACAGAAAAAACTTTTTTACTTATTTTCATAACTAATTTACTTCAGGCTATTCTTCAAGGAGACAAAGATGCCATACCACCAATAAGAAAAAGTAGGAATTGGCTCAATTATTTATTTCGGTGGAAAATTGGTATAAATGCTTGTCGAGGAGTGCTACTGCCCATGTCTTTTGGATTGGCCACAGTTGCTGGCTTTTCGATGTATATTCGTCTCTGGGGTAGAAAAAAGTAATGCTTGTGTAATTTCATAGCAATTTACTTAAGTCCCCTGTTTACAGAATTTACATACCAAAGTACTTTTATCTTAGTAGGGGATCCTAATAATATTAGATTACTCATCTGAACTTTTAAAAAATTTCAGGATTCTGGACACCCTTTCAGTAGAACCTGAATTTGTGTCAGAAATTGCTGAAAGTTGATCTCCGGGCAATCCACCAAAAAATTCTGCATTTTCGATTCTTATGTGTTTTGTAATGTTGAAGAATTAATTTTCTCCTTATTTTATTTAGTTAACATCTTTCCATTAAAATATTAGCTATTTGATCAAGTTTTAAAAAAGCATCTCGATAACCACGTGTTGATACCAGAGGTAGTGTTCATTGGCTTTTGAAGCTTTTGTTGACAATGTGTTACGAAAACAATACGAGATTCATAATTTTGGAGAAAAAAATCTTTGGAAGCGAAGAAGAACACTAATTTGGTCTGCGTATTAGGAGTCTCTATTTATTAATCTATTCATTTCAAGAACACTTGTATACTTGCTCAACTGTTTGAACTTAATCTCAGTACAAATAAAGCTGTTATTCTTCACGAAGAGTCGTAAATATTTGAGGTGTCCGAGCAACCCACGCATAGAATCCAAAATATTTGTGCACATCAACCGTAATATCTTTACACTATCAAAGTTTTCGTGCATATTACCGAAATTGTATTATTGCTTTCTGTAATAAAAAATTGATTAGTTTTTGTTACATTAATTATGTCTTCAGAAATTTTGATAACTTTGCTAAAAATAAATTAGCAACTGCAGCATGAAAAATCAAGACATACATATTATTTCTTGTACAACAAATACCAAAATTTGCCGACGAGAAGTCTAGAAAAACGATAAAGGGAAAGGGGTAGGAAAACAAAGTATCCTGGCATGAATAATACATTAAACATTTCTTCTCGCTTAACTAGTAAGTAAAGTTGATTTCATACTTTATTCCCTAAACGGGAAATGAATGATACACTGTCCGACTGAACTGAGAAAAAGTAGACCAGTTTGCAAACTTTTTAACTTTTTGCCCAAACAGTACAACAAATTCTTCCTCCAATTTGTGTAATTTATTATGACTCACAAATTCAGTAATACTAATTTTCTTTCAGGATATTTATCTCTACCTCATAAAAATGCTTGCAACAGTTATGAGAAGTAAATATATATCTACAGTTATTCATTTGTTATTTTCTGATCAACATCTTAATCTCGAAATTACGCTAATTTTCAAATTATATTAAAAAATATGTGAAAACATATTTGTATCGAATTCACTGTTCATGCGCTAAAAAGTTTGATTAATAACTATCTAAAATAGGCAAAAATTAACAAAAATCTGGCAAAAAAAGTGCAAAACCTTGTAAACTTTTTCTGATAATGCTCTTACCTCCTTGTTTGAATTTATTCAGTCAGTCACTTATCTTATATTTTTCAATTATTAATTTAAACTTATATATCAAGCAGTAAATCAGTATTTTCGTTTATTTCCAACTGTAAAAATAATTGATTCAATCTGTTTTTTTAGTAAAATCATTGTATTCAACTTGGTATCATAAATTTTTTACTGATGCTTCCGAACTACTAACTTTATTACTTATACTATCAAAAATGCAAATTTTGCAAGATCCAAATTTAAGCGGCAACAGCAGTAACTATCTTCTGATTATTTATCTCTTTCAGGTCTTAAACTTAGGTCTAATTCTTATCAACCACGCCAATTTTAGCTATACATTACATCACTACCACGTCGATAACTAAGTAATACGATATAAAAAGCTACTTCTCGCATATAATTGTTGATATTCTGATTTACAAATGCATACCCAAATGAGCAACGTAAGTCATCAGCAAAAGTTATCATCATCATCATTATAATCCAAGTCCTCATCTTGAACACCACATTTTTTTGACATTGTACCAAAAAATATTGCGTTTAATGGCCATAGGTATAGATAAGATCTGAAAACTAAAACTTTATGATATGGTAAATTGCTTTCAACTTTCTTTCTTAACAAGTACTTTATTATGTAAGCCTTGACAGTAATACACTTCTCTTAGTTCTACTATTCTAATAATGTCATTTTACCGATGTAACTTACTTATCCTAAGATATCTTACTTACTTTAGGTTTTGATTTCATCACTTCTCGCTGCACTGAAATGTAATCCACTGCGCGACTTATTCAAAATTTTTGCTCTACCTGTAAAACTTGCACTTCAGACCTGAGATGTCATTAAGGAATAAACAAATAATCTTACTAATTACAAGAACGTGAACATCCCTGATATTATTTACCTTAGAGTATATTGATTAGAACTTTTGTGTTATGCAAATTTCGTCCAACCTACAGTAATAAATTGACACATAATTGTTTTCCAGCAACCCTTCTCACTGCAAGTTCCTAACTCTAGATTCCATTTTTCTAGCTCCCATCATATCCGTATATTCACGGTACGTATACATGCCCGTATGCATGTAAACACGGAATTGAAAGTCAAAAGTGAAGTGAATTTTCTTCCTTCTCAGGAATCTGCATGTTCTCAACAACCTCTGTATAATGAATTTTGACAATTTTGATTTAAAAAAAATTAAAGTTGACATATTTGATACGCTTATTCCATTCTACGTCAGAAACTCATGACATGCATTAATGCATGTAGCTCAAGATATGAAATAGTAAAGCAAAATCATATAAGCAGCAGATACTAACAAAAATTTCTGAAGCAATATTAGTTCAAAGGTCAGCCATCATCCTGAATACTTTCCTACTTGCTTCACTAAAGTAAAGCTAATCATATATCTAGAATTGTGCCAATTAATATAATACTACCAACAGCAACTTCCGTTCGACTTCAGCAGTTATAATTTAGTGCACTTTCAAAGTCAATTTCTAATTCGTATCTTTGTTCTCAATCAAATTTGCATATTCTATGAGTAAAAAAAGGATAACTATAACTGCATAATAAATACTTCTAACAGTATTTGCAGTTATGAATGATACTGTCTGAATTTTATTTTACCAAAATTAGTAAACACTACTGTTGTTAGTGTAATGTGTTGGTAGCATGGAATGAACAAGTAACAAAACCGGTTCCAACAGCTTTTTTTTTCTGAAATCAAATTTCCAACATACCAGCTTGACAATATAACCAATTATCATCATAAGAATGAAAACAAAGTTTTCTCATATGAAAAAAACAAACAAAAAACACACAGGAAACAAATGGCAAGCAATGCTTCAGACGGTTTTTTTCTCTCTTATTACTTCTTCTTTATTTGATTTTCATTTTCAGAATATAAATTAATTAATTAATTAAATACTTTTTAAAGTTATCAAATAATTAAATTCAAGTAATTTATTGATACAAAAACTAGTACTTTCCTCTACTCTTTTCCTCTTTTTGCTTACAAAATCAAATGTGCTTTAAATTTTTGCAAAAATTTAAATGAATTTATTCTACTTTTATCAAATCTTGCTAATCTTTTATATAATCCAGTAAATTTATGATTTATAAAAATTAACCTTTTAAGCACAATTTTTTTTTTGAAAATTTTTCAACAAAAAAACAAAAACAAAAAATGATGAAAATATTTGAGTATTTTTGTATTCTTTTATCAAATCAACTAAATCTTTTCTCAATTAAAATTTAAAAAAAAAAGGAATCAAAAAATTACCGGGAAAAAAAGTAATGAAAGCTATAACTATATAGTATGCTTAAGTAGAAAATAGAATTTTTTTGAAAAACAAGGCAGACTAGCAGGGATAAAAGTGAATTCAAGCACTGGAAAACAACAAATATTAAATGCAAACTTGCTGCTCAAATAGCTGCTTTTGCTAGCTACTAAGTGAACTTGGAAGTGTTAGTCACATCTTTGAAATAACAACAAATTAGTTAATTTGAAAAAAAAATTTTAGTGCGTAAAAATCCTACTTGAATTTTATGTTAAAAGCACATTGCCCGAAGCAAAAAAAAAGCGTCTAAAGAAAAGAATAAGAAGAGTACACGAAAATAATAAAAATTCATAATTTTTAGATTTTTCAAAATTTTTAAAATTCATAATTTTTAAAATTTTTCAAAATTTCAAAAATTCATAATTTTTATAATTTTCATAAAATTCTACATTTTTTGAACTATTGATGCATATAACTTCAAAAAATTTTCTTTACTTATCAGTACTATGATAATTAATTTTATCTAATATCATGTCTATAATATAATTTGCATATTAAAACATTTCAAAAAATTTTTCTACACTAACTAATAATTAATTATTAACATATAAAAAAAGGATCATTTTTGCCATGTAATCATACTTATAATAAATATAGAAAATAAAAATTGGAGCGAAAAAGCCGTCTGCCATCTATGCCAATTGAGAATAATACAGACAAACATTTGTTCACTTTAGCTATAAGCACACAACAATAAATGACAAGAACAATCAAAAATATCGAAAATAACTAAATAATGGGGAGCGGGAATATTTTAAAATTTAAAAATTATTTCTTCCTTTTTTTTCAAAAGATTTTTTTTTGTTTAAAAAGCGAAAAAACACAACGAAGATAAAATCAACACTAGTGAAAATATGTCTGAACATCACCGTCATCAAAAGGATCACAGAATAATAATGCAACAGCACATACCACGCGCGTGTACGCTATAAAAAGTAATAATCGTACGTTATATTAAAATGAATGAAACAAAAAAAAAAAAGAAATGAATTGTTGTTGCCGTTTGTTGTTCTTGTTTGATCTTGTAGCAATTGTTGATTTCTGAGACATTTATCGTAATAATGATAGTAATAATAATAATAATTTATTAAAGTAATAATTGACACTATCCTATTGTTTATGCTATAACCGTAGTGATATTACCAAAAAAATATAATCATAACGATTGTAATTATAGAAATGATAAAGAGAGTACAGCAGTAGTAGCAACAATGGTGATAAAGAGTGATAGTTTTAGTGATAGCAATTGAATAAATGATGTAAACTTTTTATTTTTATTATTGATAGCGGTGCCATTTAGAAACGCGGAGGAATCTGGCCACTAACTGAAATATGAAGCAAAATATTAGCATTTTTGGCTTATAAGCAGCGACAGCAGCATGCGCAAAAACTATTCATTAAAAAATGGAAAAAAAAATTTCCTCTTTATCGATTTTTCAAGAAAAATAAACTTTTTTAAATAATACCAAAAAATACTGACAAGTAATTAAGTAAACAAGTGATCATCTTAAATATTTAACTACTCATTACTTATGTACAAGTATTCAGTTTTATCTTATTCTCTAATTAAGATCAACCATGATGATGAGCCATTCTGATCACATTAAGTTATGATTTCGTGAAGAGATAAAAAAATAAAAATATTATGTCAATACGTGTGCAATTTAAGCGGTAAAAAATTTTATACTGTACTACAAAAACTTTATACTGTCTTTGACACATACGTAAGATATGTGAATCTGTACATAATAACTGTAATGCAAATATAGTCGCTAAATAGTCATATGGTAGACTTGTTTGGAAGTGCAAATATTTTTAAAAAAATGCATAATTTTCGAAACTTTAACTTTTTCGATAATTTCTGTGTATTCTACAAATACATGAATAATTATAAATTCATAAAGAACATCCAATACTGCATTCGTTTGCAAAAACTAAACAACTGATTTTGACAAGTAGTCATGTAATACATAAGACGAAGTTATTAATAATTCATTCACCTGTGATGTCTTAACTTTACAATACTAGTCTAATCTAGATAAAATATTGATTAAAAAAGTAAAATTTCAACGAGAGCTTATTCAGCTTATTAAACAATCTGTTAATCAAGAAAAAAGTACAAGAATAAAAGTATAACTTTGAAATTCATTACAGAAAAAAAGGAACATTACTGTATCTTAAGTGAAGACCGTAATAAAAGCAAAACTTACATGAAACAGCTGGCATATATCCGATACCAGGAATCAAATACGGGTTGAACGTAGCTTGCGGAATTTGAGCCGCAGCTGCAAGTTGCGCAGTAGCACCGTTTGCATACACTGGAACACCACTTTTTTCAGCTGCTGGACGTTTACATGGTACAGTACCTGCCTAAAATTGTAATAAAAATTTGCACTACATCCATTCATTGATTGTTTGAAGCATGATAATTAGCATACACAAATTATTACTTCATTAAAATATTACCTATACTTACATATACTTGACATGAAAATCAATCGCATTTAAAGCACAAATATTAAAACTTTTACCAACAACAAACATTAATAAATGATAAATGAATAAAATAAATAAAATAAGAGACAACAACAAACAAACAAAAATTAGCCAGAAATTAAAAAAAATTATGAAGCGGTTTTAAAAATGGCTGCGTAAAAATTGCTTTCCCGCCTGGCAAAAAAGAGTAGCTGCTTGCTTGATCATGCTTGTAAATAAATGAGGCACACAACATGTAATAAAGACAGTAAAACTGACGTGAGAGCTGAGGAAAAGTAAATTACAGTATTGACAGAAGGGGAAAGAATATCTATACAGTAGTAATTACTTATTGTTCAATTTATTTTGATCTGATTTTTAATCAAACATAAATTGAAAATGAATTTGAAAACAAAAATTAAAACCTAAAACTTTTCTCAATTTCAAAGAAAAACAAAATAATAAATTAAATGAAATGTTTGAAATAAGAACTTTGCTTGCAAAAATTTAAGTCAGAAACTTTTTCCTAAAGCAAAAAAAAATGGTAAGGAATATGAATAGTATGTACGTATATTAAAATACACGTACGTGAAAGAAAGAAACAAACTGAAAAAATCGGTACCGCAGCAGCAGCAGCAGCAGCAGCAAGGAGAAAAGGATTCTGATCGAACTGTTGTGATGCTGATGCTCTACCATTACTAGCAACTACTGCAGCAGCTGCAGCTGCAGCAGCAGCAGCTTGTTCTTCTTCCAAGGCACGTTTTCTGTGATTTTGTAGTACTGCATTAACTCCTCCTCCTCCTCCTCCTCCGTTACCACAAGGATTGATAATATTTCCAGCCGCTGCTGCAGCTGCAGCAGCAGCTGCAGCAAATGATTGTGGTAATGTTGTAGTACCTTGTGATAGTGTTGCAGTAGCGGGTGATAATGTTGCAGTTGGAGAAGGCGCTTGTGACATAGCAGTAAGATTCTGAAGCGCCAACAGCTGGGCTTGTAATTGCTGGAAGGGAAATATTCGGCAATAGCAAATGGTTGACTATTTTTTTGTTTTTTGTATTTTTTTTTGTTTTTTGATATAGTAGTGATAGATGTTGATGATGATGATGATGATGACAGCGCGCGTAATAAAGCCATGCAAATAAATGAACCACACACGCTAGTACACCCACGCACGCCATATGCCCACGCACGCATATTTAAGAAGCCACTACACAACAAAATGAAATATCAAAACGACAAGAGAAAAAGTTTTCACACTAAATATAGGCTTCAGCGTGCATACAATGCTGATTTATCTTTTTTTTTTTTTCATTTTTATTATCAGTAATAATTTTTATTCATTATGTATTATAAGAATGCTATAACTTATACTGTTCCTATCTAAACTGTACAATTAATATTACGTGTTGATACATTCATTTCTAGTATAACTCATTTAAATCATGTTTTGAGTGTAAATACAAATTTTAAATAAATATAAGTTGTCTGAAAAACAAATCAAAATTCCATCCTTCAGCCACAATTACACTGCTGAAAACCATACCAGTTCTGGTATTATAGCAAACTGAAAATAATAATTCAAAAATCAGTCAATTATCTAATTTTTAATACTTGACTTACTTGAAAATATTCAATTACTATTTAGTTATTTTAATTAAGTATAGAAATATATTTAAAATAGATTATCAAAATAAAAAAATTCAGACTTATTACGTTAGCTGCATCATTCCTCTGATTCATCGAATAGACACGTTGTATAGTCTATATTTACGACAGTCAGTAGACTTTACAGTATCTACGTAATAGTTATGATATTATATTACATGATTACCGTATATTTCATGTAATAGAATATAATATTTTTCCTTCACAACAGAATACTAATATTTTACTAAGTAATTACACCAAAACTGCATTACTTGAATATTATATGTTCACTTTATTAAACTATCTCATGTCTGCTCAAATAAATTTCCAAAATATTTCCCCCACATAATATTCTGTCATCATCATTGAAATTAAAAACAATATATCCATCTCCGTGTTAGCAAGGAATTGAATTAGATCTTATAATAAAATTAACAATGATAGAACTATAAGTTGAACTTCTTGCTTTGAATTAGGTCTTAAAACTAATTCCTGAAGGTTGCGTACGTTTTCTTGAAAATATGTTACAATAAGATCATGACATTTGAACCACATCTTTTGATCCCTATCACCATTGTCATAGAGGTCTCAATAACTATTCACAGATTTTTCGTTTTCTTGTGCATTTTATGCAGTTTTGTATTATTATATCAAATGCTATTATTCATTTAATTCTGAATAAACCGACTCAAACATAAAATTGTACACACTCATACTTGAGAAGCAATTATCCATTCAAAAAAAGACACCATAAGCATTTCGTTATAAGGCATAATTAATTCAATTCACGTGTAACTCATACGTAATATCAACTAATTTATAAAACTAAACGTTATGCAAAAAACAATAATAGCAACGTGTAAAAATGTAGAGAGATTATAAGCGATGTAAGAACGGAAAAAAGGAACCGATAGGCAAAATTAATTAATTTAAAATCAGATATGACTAACAGAAAAATTGAGTAATTAAATTAAAGGGAGGAACACAACGTTTCTAGTCGAGATCAGTACACGGAAGCGAGGCAGTAACGCATATAAGCCTGATCTTTATTTTGCTCAACACTGCAATATGAGCTTAACTTGTTGTATTTGAATATGATTACTTCCTTAAAATTACAAAAGTAAAATTTTTGAAAATATACTTATAATACTTTAAACTAGTTCATCTTGCGTACCAGTAATACTTGAATGATACTATCACTTATGAATTCGTGTGTGCTACTACTTAACATTTAATAAGTAATGATTAATCTGACAAAAATTGATTCTTATTCTATTTATTAATTTTGAACTTCAATTTGAAATCGTAGAAATTGTAGCACTCTAAAAAAAATACATTTAATGAAAATTGTAGAATAAGATTCAAAAAAAAATTCATTAATTATTACTTTTTTTCATATAACAAAACAAAAGTGAAAAATTTATGCAAAATTTTTATGATTAACAATCAGAATTACTAAGTAAGTCAAGTCAAGCACACACGTGAATTTCTAACATAAGATGACAATAATAATCAAGAATACAAGTACCCCTCATGTCATGCAATGCAAATTCTTGCCACTAAGAATCACAATTACTTTGAATATTTTTATCATTGTTTATTTTTTAAACAAAAATTGACTGATAATTGATTAAAAAAATAAATTGTTGTAGTAGCTTCTTTGATACTTACTTGCTGCTTACTTCCATCGAAAAAAAATATTTTTTTCCAAATCACTATGAAAATTTAAAATAAGATTATTATCTCATATCCATACATCTGATCAATATTTTATTTTTATTACATTTATTTTATTTGAAAAAATGACAGCCCAAAAAACATAACTAGATATTATGATTAATCAAGCAATTAATTAATAAAAGATACCAACCGCTTGATATGCAGCAGCAGCGGGATCGTTGTTGGGTAGAGGCACAAGAGTAGGATACATGGTGGTGATACCTTGGTAATATTGATAAGGAAGTGCAGCAGGAACTAAAGTAGCAGCTTGTGCAGCAGCTGCAGCTGCAGCTTGTTGCTGCTGTTGAACAATGATAAGCTGATCATTAAGTGTTGCAGGACTTGCTTGACCGCTTACAACTAATTGTGCCAATGGATTCATTGTTGATAATGCAGCTGCTGCTGCAGGTGCTGCTGCTGCTGCTGTCGCCACTGCATTTTGATTTAGTTGAGTACAAATCAAATTTTTCAATGCCAAATTATTACGACCATTAATGAGTAACTGATCTTTCAAATGTTGAGGTGGATGCAAATATTTGCATTTTGGATTCTCACGCGTACAACGACCCTATAAGGTTATTTTTTAACTTGAATGTACATATATGTATATTTTATATTATAAAAAACATATTTGTCGCAAATAATTAACAAGTTACTTCAGTTAAACAATAATAATATATAATATAAACATATCAAAATGTAATATATATTTCATTGAGCGTGAGTAAATTTCGTGTCTATTACATCAAGCATCTTTTTAATTTTAGCTCAAAAATGACAAGACGTTTTTAGGAGATAAATTATTCACAAATTCATTTATGCATCTGTCTTGACTATATGAAGTCATAATATGAAATCATTTATTTTACATCAAATTTCTACCATTTAACATGACGTAAAGTAATAAAATAGATAATTAAATTACGATTATAAAACGTAAAAGTTTCGAGTCGTAATGAGTAAGCTATTTTTTGAAAAACTAAATTGCTATTTTGGAAAAGCAACAAGGAAACAAAAACGATCACTCGCACATAAAGCTTAAACATAAAATTTCAGAAAAATTACACACTGTAAATCATACTGTATTTGGATTAAATGATTTATAAATAGCTTTAATTGCTATAATTTTGCTTATATACTGAATGAATGCATGAAATTAATAATTGCTACGTAAAAATTATAAAACTGCAACTTTTAAAATTTTACATACACACAATCTCCTAGGAAATACGAGTTTCAAGTTTTAATCCCTACGATACCAAGAAAGAAAGTTATATATATATATAATATTCGTTCGTTATTAGCACCACTTATATACATTTGTATAGAACAACCACTGTATGAAATGACAAAAAACAATATTTCAGATGTTAGCTATAATTATAATTCATTACCATTACATCAGGGAAATGATGAATGCAGGAAATGTTACGTCAGAAACCTTCTTAAAAAGTTTCAAAATAAAAAACCAACTTTAATAGAATCATAACAAGCAGTTACGCGACCATTCTGTACATCAACATGAGGTGGAGGGTGTGCAAATTTACATTCTATATCCGATCTTGAGCACTGTCCTCGCTGGAATTCTCGACATACCTAGAAAGTCTACAATATTCACTTCTGACCATGCTTTCAATTATTCCTCAAATCATATACACATATCTATAATATAAACTTTAATGCAACTTATCGGACCAAAATGTTATATTTTCCATTGTAATATATTCGTGTTATCAAAAACCACACAATAACCTTTCACAATGATTTTTTTTCAGTGTTCAAAACAAAGCTACAAAATTTACCTCTAACTGTAACCATCTGGAATCTTTAACATTTAGTAACTGTGACATAATACCCGTTGAAGAAGTACTGCTTGTGCTTGTTGCGCCCATTGTCGCTGTATTACTGTTCTCATCGTACATGGCAATTAATGCCTGCAAATATAACTACTACTGATAATATGCACTGATAACGCTATGTTTACCATTACGCCAAATTAATGAATAAGTGAAAGATACTAAAGCGGTTACAACCACCTATACTAACTTTTAAACAATAATTATTTCATAAAAATGTGAATATTCTAAAATCCTAATAATTCGGAAAAAAGGTCAAATTTGCATCAGTCGATAAAATTAAAACTTGTAAAGGGCATTAATTTTCAAAATTTCAATAATTAGAGGAATAAATTTGAAAGGTTTACCTTTAATGCTTTATTTTTGAATTCGAAATTTTGTAAAAGTATACAAAGTAAAGAGTTTTTGTATGAAAGTTTTAGTATATTTTCAAATGCATAAAAATAAATAATATAAAAGTAACGAAGTGAAAAGTGAGAATGAGAAATAATGAATAAATGACTTGTACACACCTTTCAAAGCGTGAAAATATGTTCTCAATATTAATATTTCCAATAAGTTATCAATAATGCTAGCAAAATTACAAAGTAAACATAATTTATTGACAATAAAAATATAATAAACGGATTGCGTAGACTCTCACAAATATAACAATTTGAATAATTTTCAAAAGATATACTTTGTTCACTTTCTAAGATAATAATAATTTTGAATTGATTTACTCATAGAATGAAATCAACTAATTTACTCACAAATAAGTAAAGCTAAACAAGTGGAAGAATTTGTAAACAACTCATTGATATGTTTTAATCTATGAGACACTGACATCTCTAGTAATATAATACTTTTCGTATTTAAAAACAAAGCGGATTGTAGCCAAATTCAAATACAACCTACGTGATCGTATTTTTCTATCATTAAATACATATGCTATTCAAATTAATACTCATTTTTAATCTATTTATCGATTGACTGTTCATTGCAATTATTAGAAGAAAAACAAAAGCATATCGTTACCTGACAAAATTACTGCAAATTTTTTGACACAATATCGCACCCACTCTGAAATTTGATTAGCAATTAAAAAATTACTCAGTAGTTTATATAATTTCAAACAAAAACAAATCGCAAGTGTAGAAAAAATGAAAACAATAATTAGTAATCTTTTATCAACGCTATTTTGAACACAAAATCTTACGTAACATAAAATAATGTATATACTGGAAGTACACGTAAAATAAGCAATACCTACATGAAAAAATACGAAGGTCTCGAGTCAACTAAAATATGTGACTTTATGATAGTGGACAGTGGCAATTTAAAAAAATACAAAATACGCGTAGTTAATTGTGCAATTGTACACAACACAAATGTTCGCGCACCCACTCTGAAATTACGCGTTTGTGCGTGTGTGTGCGTGTGTGTGTTTGCATCTGGCAGGCATGTATTATATGTAATGTATGTGTGTGCGCAAGAATACAAACCCCCCTCCTGCCAACTGGCACTTGCCTTTTCCCACTGTATATGGATGGCAATTTTGGTCCTGTTGAATGCCTCAATCGTTTGAAACACATGTGCACGTATATGTGTGTGCCTGTCTGTCGTTTGATATTAATGTGTGCACATGCAATGGAGTATGTCATCAATTGATTTGTATGAATTTAAAATGATCACATAAGTATTTGATCAAAAAATTCAACTTTTTAAAAAGTTGAATGCATTTGCTGTAAAGTAAGAGGCAATCATTTATTTATTGATAGCAAACACTAATTCAAAGAAGCAGAAATGTGCTAGAAAAGTTTATTGATTAATAATAGGGATGAAATTTGCTCGTGATCAGTAGTCAATAAGACTGATCGATAAATGGATTAAAAATGAGTAATAATTTGAATGGCATATATATTTAGTAAATAGAAAAATACGATCATGTAAAAGTTGCGCGAGTGTAATAAATCAATATAAATGTATTAAGCAAATCAGAATTTGAAAACTTTCATACCCGATAAATAATAATTACTGAATTGTTTTTTACTGTGAAAAAATTTCAGTATTTGAAAAATTTTTTTTAAACATTTTTATGACAATCCAAACAACTGTTAGAGAGAACTATTTTGCTTATTTTCTAATGCTGTAAGTTAATTACAGTAAAATATTATTATATTTATTATACGAGCAAATATCAATCACCTTCACTTCAATGTTTTATACAATTAATTTTATATGCTAATCGTCTTACATCTTCACAAAGCACAATTATTTTTATCTATATAAATTTAGATTAAACTTCAGAATTGATCAAGCACGTGATGTTTTTAGCTACGTGAAGTTACCAAGTAACGCCATCAATGTTCATCATAACTTGATGCTCCACGCTGAAAACAGTCAATCTCGATTCAGATTCACAATGAGTCATTCATTATTTGTGTAGTCTACTTTTGTTATTCGATAGCTTCTAGTGAAAAGCGCAACCGCACAATCGCTAAACAAAGCCGCCTTTAAATTTAATGCCGCACACACACACAATATATATTCACATATACATACACAAATGCACACACAAAAGGCAATAAATTTGTTCCATATTTCGACGAATTAAATCTTCTCTCATCACTTTCATTCTCTCCAAACGCCGACATCACATCCTCTTTACTCTATCTCTACCACGCATTGCACACGTGTTTCCCACGTCTTTCAAAACTAACAATCCAGACAGTATAAAAATAAATCAATTCTGTATTAACTTGCACCAGTTATAACAGAATAATTAAGGCAAAATACTGTAAACTTAAAATTTGATTCCAATATCTATTTACGAATGACTTCGATTTTTATGCATTATTTCTAATCTAAACTTATAAATTGCTTCCCGCTCACAGCAAAAAATGAATAACAAATGCGCTTATTTCTTAAGAGCTTAGATAAATACAATATTCTACATCGATTTCGGGCATCAGAATCCTACAAAACAAACAAAATTTTCAGTACTCTTTTAAACGCAATTTTGCAATATTTTCATCTAAACGTGGAATCATTTCCAGAAAACTTTTATTGAAATATATCTCAACAAGTAATTACTGAATGATCGATAGACAGTATAGATCATAAAAGATTACGATTTGTTGAACTAAGCGATTATTATTTATGAGTACCATCATAAAAGAATACAATAATCAAAAATTTCACTGTAAGAAGAAATTTGTGAAAGCAATTAAGATGGAAATTGTATCGAATTTCAAATTATATAATTACATCAAATAAATCTCGTCATTTCATTATATTTACTTACAAAACTTTTGTAATCAATGTATTTTCAATTCACACTGAAAATAAATATAAATTCCTATGAACTAAAGTCAAACTTGCTTGCTAAATTACTACTACTCCTAGAATTACTACTTTTTACGTTACAATGATGCTCACGTAAATTACTTTAATCAACTTTTTCTTTTACACTAATAACTAGTTCACACAGACTGATGACTACCTCAAGATATCGGTAATTGTCATATATAAGACTCAAAGTGATAGAAAAATTCAAATTTTGTGAAACAAAGCAAGACACACAAAACAAAGCTTATTCTAACACATCTGGGGGAATATTCGGCGCCGAAACTATCAATGGCGCCACAGAAGACTAGACATTTTATCGAATTGAATAGTGAAGCTACTTTTTTGAATAAAATAGCGATATGAGAGACACATTTATCAAAGAATGCAAAAAGTATCTCAGTGAAGAATCAGTAGAATTTGAGGTCAATGAAAGAATGAATAATGAAAAACCAACCAACTAGTTGTTAGGATTAACTGTTGATTGAAAAATTAACAAAAGTAGTGATAAAAAAGATACGTACGTGTCAATGCACGTATATTCAAATTCATTATTGCGTGTATTGCAACAAATAATAAATTTAAAAAATTTCTCCATTTTTTTCTTAAATACTTATTTATTTTGATATCATTTTAAATTTTAAGCATAAGAGAGTTCTTTTTTTAAAATTATATTTCACATAACAATGAAAATAATTTTAAAAAACAACGTTAAAAATTGAGTATAGCCATTAACTTGTTTGCACTAAATATATGTGATAAACATTTTTATTATTTTGCAGTGGTATTTAAGCTAATATTTTTTCTCGTACAGACGTGAACAACAGACAGCTGCACGAATGTATTAAACCTCCTAAACAGATGGATATATGAAATGTACGTGAGTGTGTGTGAGCGCTACTGTTCTGTTCGAGCACATACACAACTGCAACTGCATAAATGTGCGTACTTATTTTTCTACCAATAATTATGCATATATAAGTTTGCACGTACAACCATGTTTGAGCATGTAAAACTATGGGTGCGTGATTCCGTCCTGTGAGTGTACTAGAAAATGCACGTGAAACTTACGTGTCTTCGCAGAAATCTAATAATAAAAAAACTAACGCATTAAGTGTATACGACATATACGTATATTTGTGTTTGTACAAAAGTGTTTAAAATTGTGTAGAGCATAACAAAATTTTTTTTCCAAACCTCAATTGAGCAGTTGAAATGTGAAAGTGAATCTATAATGCAAAACATTTGAGTGGTAGGTATGTTTAGAAAAATAATATAACATATTTGTATGAAAATTCTTTCCAAGCATTATTTGCAAACAAAATTTGATCAAAGATGTAAAAATTTTTAATGGGAAATTACGCATTTCTTGTATATGATCGACTAACATAGAGTTATTCAGTGATTGATTGATTGATTGACTGATTGATTTTTGAGCAAAAATATATCTCAATGAATATTTTTTGAGCATGAAATGTACAAAAAAAACTTAAACATAAATTTGTAATAAAGCATATGCCATGAAGAGCAAAAAATTATTTTGTAATGAAAAAAAGACTGCTTGCACAAGTAAACGTGAACTTACGTCAAAATTATCCTTGCAAAATCGAAAAAACAACAAAGTGTTATGAAGTTTGAGACTTTGTGCAAATTACATTAATGGTTTGTTTAACTTTTAATCACAATTTTATATGATAAAAACAGTTATTATAATGAAACAATGTTTGCGTGATGTGACA